AATTTTAAAAAAAGTTAGTGTTTTTTGATAGAAGATTTACAATAGTAAACAGGTGCTTAAGCAACAAAGATTATTAGACAGTACCAGCATGCCTTTAGAGGAGCATAATGACTACAAACACTACACATCTGATAAATTGCAGAACACTTCAGATATTTATTTTTCCTTGGCATTTTGAATATAATGTCTGATTCCAAACTGCAGGAGCAGCCTGTCATAGAATCACAGAATGGTTTGGGTTGGAAGGGACCTTAAAGACCATCCAGTTCCAACCCCCAGGAATCCTGTCTCAGGATTTGGATTTACTCTGCTATTCCAAACACTCCCCAAACACAAACAATGACCATTTCTCTTCCCCTTCCTTCAGCTGGGATTTTCTAAAAGGTATTTCAGCACAAAGCCCAGACTCAGCTCTGGGGGGGTGACAGGTCCATCAAGGGGATGCTGACAAAGCAGCTCTTTTTATTTCTCAGTGCCTGAGCACACCCAGGGCATTTCCAACCCAGGTCCATCACCTCGGTGTTCATTCTGGAGCGCTGAGTCGATGTGCCCAGTTGAACGATAAAACACATATACAGGGAGGTGGATGGACCAGGAAAAAACTCCTGTTAGGTGAATTTATGTTTTCTGTGTTAATCCTGTGTCTTCTGAGCTGCTTGCCCAAGTAAATGGGCAAATGTCTGAGCATCCCCTCACAGTGTAACAGAGGGGGAATAAACTCGATGCTCCTGCCAGACCTGTGCAATGTAAGGACCCCCTGGCTTCCGCTGCCCTCTTCAACAGCCATGGCAAATTGAGTTAATTTGGATTTTCCACCCCTCTGCTTTGTCCTCATCGAACATTTTGACTCAGTTTCTGCTGTATTTATTTTTACTCCACGTCCTTTCTGCTCTGCTGTCTTTTCAATCTTCCCTCTTGTTCTTGCTTTCCCATTTTCCCTCTGGTTACCCCGCCACGCTCAGTCATGTCTTTCTTCCTTTCTGACTCAACATTTTTTCCTCCTGTTCATTTTTCAATAGGCATAGACCACATATTGTTATTTTCTGCCCTTCCCACAATTTAATAACACATTTGATCAAGGACAGGCTGCTGCTTCAATTTCTGTTTCTTCTCACCTTTTCCCTAAACCACCACACTGCACCACTCCACCTTTAAATTCTCGCTGACACAACATCCTGTCTAACAACAATCATTCATCAAAATAGGGCTGGAAAACCAAAATCTCTTTGCTTTTGTTTTGTTTTTAAAAAGAATACAGTTTTTAAATGATGTCTTACAGCCTAAACCGGGTTGAGAGGAAGGAGCAATGTGCGCTGATGACTAACTCTTACCTCCCAAAGTTAGCGGGAAGAAACTCCAAAAAGGCATCGTTTAGATAGAGCTGGGTCAGGTTTAGAAGTTGTGTGAAGCCATCTGGCAGCCTAAAAAAAAACCAGTTTCAAGCTTAATGCTCACACCAAAGTTGCTATGGAAATAATGGCAATACATGTTTAGGAAGATTACCTTCTCTCTCACCTTCTTTTTCTACTCAAATTCTCAGGAATAATTTACCATTTTTGCCTGTTCTCATCTTTTCCACTTTGCTATAATGACATGAAATTCAAACACCTGGCAGGTTCAACTTACATCAGCCTCTTCTCTCTTTCTAGCTGTGGGTTTTAAGCCAAAGGCGTTTTCTTTCTTTCTTTCTATTTATCTATTTTTATTTTTTTTTTTTAACTGAAATAGTAAAATTCCATCCTTTCACCTCCTTCACTCCATTACAACACAGTTTTTTTTTGTGACTATTTTTGCAAGTTCTTGGAAGGAATAAGGGTTAACAAAGCCCCAGCCAAGAGATTAGGGTGTGTGATGATGCAGCATGGCTTAATTCCCAAATACATAAGGCACCAGCTCACTGTGTTTAAAAGGCTGCATCATAGGGACTGCTGTGCCAAGACTTCCTTTACCATGTGGAAGGACACTACGTTTGTCACCTAGTACACAGATCTTTTCATAGATCCATCAACCCTGGATTTCAAACAATTCAAAAGGAATTTAGATTAATCCTGCAAATGATCTTGATACAACGCCTTCGAATTTTAATTCACTTTGTGTAAATTTTCTGTGCTTGCAGTATATAAACAGAAGCTGCTGATACTCACTTAGAGACCGGATTGACACTGGCTTCAATAATTGTTAAACACTTACAACATTTAATATTTTCTGGAAAATCTTGAATTCCTAAAAAAAAATAAAAATAAATAGATATTGAAAAAATTATTATACACTCATAAAAAAACTTGTTCGACTCATAAATGAGTTCATTTGGCATTTTCAGGTCAGACTTAAGCTATAACTGGGAGAATATATATATATATTTTAGTATTATAGTCTAAAAGATGATACTTAAGCACTAAATAAATACACCAGAACAGATAATATGCCTTGTCCTAAAACTATTATGCTAATACATGATTTATATCATCTTCTAGAGTTGAATAGTGACATCATTTGTACCGATATTTGTGCCTTTCATTTCTTCTGAACTCGTTATCTTTTTCCTCTTTGCCTCCCAGGAGAACACACAGATAATCCTGAGAATCTCTAAGGAGATACTAATACATTTTTCAAAATTTTCAGCAGTGCCTAAGCCTTGTTTCCAAAACCAAGACACTTCAGTTCAGACATGCCAAGGTTTTTAGGCACATAAATATGTAAATGCATAATTTGGACATGCACATCAGCAAATTAGTCACTCGCTATATAAATCCTGTTGACTTGCAGCTTTATACACTTAAATACATTACTCAAGAGCCCAGTAAGTACTAAAATCACTTTGGAAAGTGGAATGGTTGATAAATGCACCAAAAAGTGGTCTGCCACTCCTGTTTCTAATGTTTATTGGTCACAAGTTAACATATTTCTTTTTAATTTATTTTTTCTTTTCCTTTTCCTTTTCATTTTCCTTTTTCCTTTTCCTTTTTCCTTTTCCCTTTTCCTTTTTCATTTTCTTTTCCTTTTTCCTTTTCCTTTTCCGTTTCCGTTTCCTTTTCCTTTTTCCTCTTTCCTTTTTTCTTTTCCTTTTCATTTTCATTTTCCTTTTTCCTCTTTCCTTTTTTCTTTTCCTTTTTCCTTTTCCGCTTCCTTTTCCGTTTCCTTTTCCTTTTCCTTTTTCCTCTTTCCTTTTTTCTTTTCCTTTTCCTTTTCATTTTCCTTTTTCCTCTTTCCTTTTTTCTTTTCCTTTTTCCTTTTCCGCTTCCTTTTCCGTTTCCTTTTCCTTTTTCCTCTTTCCTTTTTTCTTTTCCTTTTTCCCTTTTCCTTTTTCCTTTTCCTTTTTCCCTTTTCCTTTTTCCCTTTTCCTTTTCCTTTTCCTTTTCCTTTTCCTTTTCCCTTTCCTTTCCCTTTCCCTTTCCCTTTTCCTTTTCCTTTTCCTTTTCCTTTTCCTTTTCTTTTCCCTTTCCCTTTCCCTTTCCCTTTTCCTTTTCCTTTTCCTTTTCCTTTTCCTTTTCCTTTTCCTTTTCTTTTCCCTTTCCCTTTCCCTTTCCCTTTCCCTTTCCCTTTCCCTTTCCCTTTCCCTTTCCCTTTTTCCCCCAGAAAAGTAAATGAAGTAGATACCAACCCTTATTTCTCAAAAGTGCCAGTCAGGAAAATAGTACATAATCCAGAAAGACAGCAAGTTTTCCAGAGCACAAGTTTGTTCTTCATTAGGCATTAAACCATCATTATCGTTCATCTTCATTACAATTCTTTAAAAGATTTAAAACTTTTGATGTCTTTCTTACCATTTTTACTGATATCAAGTTCTTTGAGGTTAACTAAGCTAGCGATGGTGGTTGGCAGACTCGAGAGGTCGTTGTCTGGTATGCTCAGCTTGCGCAAAGCTTGACAGTTGAACAGTTGCTGTAACACAAAAAGAGACTTTACAGTGTTTTAGGAAAAAGATACATTTGGGATCATTATTTATACACAAATACCACAAAACGACATTTGCTAGGTAAGAATTCAATAATTCAAACATATTTTGAAAAACCATTATTTGAGAAGATATTCTTCCAGGCTGTTCGGGATCATAAAGGCGGCTTCTACACAGTGGACAAGAATAATCAGAACTTTAATAATCAGATTG